ATCATTATTTGAGATGGGGCCTTGAATCATGCTACGCAGGTTTTTAGTGCAAGGTAGCCAATTTGCAGGCCAGAAGTCAATGTTCTTGCCATCCACGATATTCCAAATAATAGCTTATTCGTAAATTTCTAACCCATGAGGATGTTACTCCAGATAAAGGAATGAGTGTTCTTAGAGTATCTACCAACATATTTGGAGGTTAGTACTTTCGCCCTAGTGGCGGATGGATGACTAAATAGTCTCCAAGTGAGGCCAGTAATAATGTCAGTATTTTTATCTTTGGTTTTTTTTATTCCAAGTCCTCCAGCACCTTTTGACATTGAGACAATGTCCCAATTTATGTAGTGAATTTTCCTAGAATTTTGGTTACTACCCCATAAGAAATCTCTTTGTATTTTATCAATTTGTTTGTGGATCGCTCTGAGCAGAATAGTGTATTGCATTACATAGTTTGGAAGGGCATTGAGGGTAGTTTGAACTAGGGTTGCTCTTCCTGCAAGTGAGAGAAATTGAGTTTTTCAGTTGGACAATCTTTTATTTAAGTTGTCTAGGATGAATTTAAAGTCAATTGGTCTAGGCTTATGATTAAGTACTGGAAAGCCTAGGTAATTCCCAAAGGTGTCACTGACTTTGATATTAAGAATGTTCGAAATGGAATTTCTGAGGGTAGTAGAGCAATTTTTTGAGAAAATGAGCTTGGATTTTGTAAGGTTGATTTTTTGCCCTAATAGGGAGTTGAAGTACTTTAGGAAACTCTTGATTGTTGTGGCGGATTTCTCATTGACATTAGCCATTATGGTTAAATCATATACGAAGAACAAATGGGAGAGGGGAGGTCATCTTGGACTTAATTTAATGGGATATCAAAGTGTAGAATCCATTTGATAATTAATGAGGATAGAAAGAAGTTCAATACAACGAATAGGGTCGCCTTGTCTTATCCCTCTTGATGGCTTGAAGAACTCTGTTTGAGAGCATTCACAAGAACGACAATACGGGAAGTGGTAATACAAGCCACGATAAGCTTAGTGATACGAGGGGGAAATTCGAAATAATGTAGGGCCCTACGTATGAATGACCATTCAAATCGGTAAAAAGCTTTCTCTAAATTAATTTTTAAAAAGAGTTTCCCATTGGAGCCCTTTAATTTATTATAGTGATGAATAATTTCCTGAATTATGATAGCGTTATCTGAAGCTCGTCGCCCTTTAAGAAAACTGGATTGGAATTGGCCAATTAGGCTATCAAGGAATGGTTTGATACAATTAACAATGATTTTCGTAATAACTTTGTATGTTGTATTGCAAAGTCCAATGGAACAAAAATTCTTGAGGATATTTGCATTTGAGAATTTTGGAATTAAACAAAGATAGGTAGTATTACGATTCTCCGGGATGGTGAGGGTCTCAAATATGGAGTGGCAATAATCAAAAATAGTATTCTTGATGATGTGCCAATATTTTTGGTAAAATAAAGGATGTAGACCATCAGGTCCTGGTGTTTTGAATGGTTTGAAGGAGAATATAGCCTTAGTAATCTCATAGTTTTGTAACGATTTGTCTAGGGATACTTAATCTGTGTATGATGGGGAGTTTGGGGAGGATTTCATGTCAACCCAATTAGTCAGTTCATGGTTTGTTTGATACATATCTGGAAGTATGTAAAGGTATGAGCATTAATCCAGTTATTTTGGCCATATTTGAAGAAAGAGATACGGTTTTTATGCCTTCTAGTGAGAACACTTATATGGAAGGACTTAGTGCTCGCACCCCCCTCGCTAAACCAATTAATACGTGACCTAAGTTTCCAATAGTTTTCCTCAATTTTAAGAATATTGTTATAGTCATTAGTTAAGGAATGCTCAAGTTCCTTGAAGAAATTACTAGTAGGATAGTGGGGAGATTTTTGAAGGCCACAAAGTCTCGCAAGGATTCGCCTTTTCTTTTATACAACATTACCAAAAGTGGTGGCTTCCCATTTTTCAACATTTTCGCTAAAAAGACTAGTGGAATTTGGTGGGGTTTGACCATTCCAACTATCAAGAATTATAGAGTTGAAGTCTAGATGGTGGCACCAATATGTTTCAAGTCGAAAAATGCGTTGATTGGGATTTCTATTGTGCTGGAAGAGAGAAATAAGTAGGGGGTTATGGTCAGAGTATATTTTTTGTAGGTGAGTAACGTTTGCATTGGGGTAATACTCTAACCAATGATCAGATCAAGTGTATTTTGTTCCTTTAAAGCCAAGATCTATGAGGTTACAGTGGTTAACACAAGATTGAAAGCGAGAAGCTCTACTTCTATTAATTGGTCTCCCTCCCCACTTATTTTCTTGGCTAATAACCTCATTAAAGTCTCCTCCTAAAAACCACATTCCTTTATAGTCATTGGCTATATTCTCTAGGTTTTGCCACAATTGTTGCCTATTATTAACATTAGTACTAGCATAGATAATGCTAAATAACCAAGGTCGGTGGTTTGGGAGTACCTGGATTATTGCATGGATCTCCTGATCATCTAGTCAAATATGGTTGAGGTGGACATTGTTTTCGTACCAAAGGATGGCAATTCCTCCAAATTGAACTTGTGCCGGAACTTCGACCATGTTTGAAAAATAAAATTCAACCCTAAGGGTGATATAATTGATCATCCTTGTTTCAAGTAGGGATACCATGCATGGATTATGAGTATTGAGTAGGTCCCTAACGTTGCACCTAAATTCATCGTTGTTTACACCCCTGAGGGGAGATCACTTGTATAGTTCCGTTGGACACTTGCAAACATATTTCTTGTCCTCTATTGCTTGGAATAACATAATTTTGACTTCGCGAAAGTTTGACATTTATGTGAACGATGTTATGGCTAATAGTGGGATGTTCATACCTTGTTCCACCATCTCTTGTTCTCCTAGTTTCGGTGCATTATGATGCGGATGTATGGGCTCATGATGAATGTTCATCGGGGCCAGAAAGTGTTGAGGAATGGACTGCCATGCATGAATTAACCTGTGGAACAAAGAAATAAAGTTGAGGAATGGGTTTGCTTAGGTTTTGCGTATTCTCCATGGTATTATTATTATTATTAGTAGTAGTAGTAGTTTTATAATAAGAGGAAGTATTTGCCAAATGACTCATTTTATCAGATTGCTTAGATTTAAAAACAAGCTATTGTGTGTTTAGAAACTTACCTGGTACCGCATCAAATATTTTGACATTGATACTTGGGCTTATATTTTATGATGTATCATAGGAGGAACTGGTTGCTTGCCTTCGCTTCTTGTTGTTTTGCTTATTACCTCTGGGGAATAAAACGGTTTGCCATTGTTCCTCTGCTTGTTGTTGTATATTTGTGGAAGAGTTTGTGGAGGTGATGGCCCAAAGACCTTCTTGTTTATGACTAGTTGTGTCATTTGAGACATATGAGCATGTTGGTGCCGTGTGACCTAGTCTGCCACATCTTTTGCACATGAAATATTTGCCTTCATACAGTAGTTGTTGGATGTGAGTGCCAATTTGTATTGCTATCTGAACTAGTTGATCCAGTGGGACTTGTACGCATAACCTTGCATGCCTTCCTCTAAGTGTTGAACTGGTACATGTGTCTATACGGAGGAGTCGACCAATTAAGTTTCCAATCCTGCCAAGTATTATCCCGTCGTAAAATTATAGTTAGGGAAGACGAATCCAGACTGCTGAGTGAACTTCTTTTGCTTTGCTTGCTACAAAGTTTGGCTCCCACCGGCGTACAGAGAGATAGTGTCCATTGATGAACCAAGGGCCGTTTTGTAGAACCTTAGCCATGTTTTCTTCCTTAGTGAATTTGACTACTTAAAAATCAGGCCCAATATCAATTAATGTGAAGGGTTCGTTTGGTTTCCAAAGGTCCTGGACATTAGTTTTTAGGTATTGGTGGAGGACACGTTTGCCTAGGAGTTTAATAATAAGGGAAAATTTCAAAGGGGTGTACATTCTGCCTCTGTCTTCTTCAGTCAGTGCGATACTTTTTATTTTGGAGGAGATAGAGTTTAGGGTGTAGTCAACCATCATTGACTCGGAATAATCAAACACGTGGGTGTTTGCATTGATTAGGGAATATGTTACATTTTCATGGAAAAACAATTTTTCTTTAAAAGAGTAAGTGTTTGTGTTTATAGGTGTAGAATTAATGCTAGGGATTGGAAGGCCCCTTTCTATGTCCGGGGGTTTGGGTGGAATTTTTCTGTATTGTTGAGTTCATAGTTGAAAATGCATTGAGTGAGTGGTGCGTGTATGTGTGTGTAGTTCTAGGGAGAGACCACTTCTATAATTATAGAATGTTCTCCTTTTTACCTAGTTAATGATGAATTAAAAACTCTCTTGAAAGAGCATTCTTTTGTCAGTTAAAGCTATGGGCCATAATTATTATGAAAAGTCTTTATATACATTTTCCAGCAATAATTCTAGGTACTAAATGTAACTTAAGTTCGATCATTTTAGAACCTTCAATAATCGGTGAATTCATATTTAAATCGTAGCTAGTTGTGAAAAATAACACTTTTAGGATCAATGTTTAAAACATAGTTAGCATTTGCAAAGTTCTGAGTTCGAACCGAAAAAGTGAGTTTGAACTTAGAATATTATGGCTTAAAATTTAATTTTTTTCAATTCAAACGTTAGGATACTGTGTTGTGAAGTTTAATTTTATTAGTATGAATTTGTGAATGTTATCTTAAAATTTAATTTTTTCAGCTTAAACTTCATCCGTTGTCCTGAAATTTGATCATAATATCACAATTTTTCTTTTTCCAATCCAAACTTAAGCTTTCTAAAATTCAACTTTTCAGTTCAAACTATAGGACAGTAAAACTGAAAATTCCAAATGGAATTCATTTTTTTGAGAAATAGATATCCAATTTCACACCCACCTAATGTGAAAAAGTTAAGGGTGTTCAATAGGTTATATCTCAAAACTTAAGGAGTTAAGCATAATTTAACCTCACTATCGGGGTTGGAATATAATTACTAGTAGTATCTTTCTTTCCTCTTTCACATTTCTCTTCCCTCACCGGTCCCCGATTACACCTCCGACAAAAAATGGCCGACGACACAGAAAAACCAAAATCCGACGCCGGCGCCGAATCCGAATCCGAACATGAGCCCGAAGCTAAAGCTTTACGACTCAAAACCCTAGCGGAGCAGAAATACAATTCCGGCAACCTAAAATTAGCTCTCAAATACGCAAGACGAGCTCACCGTCTCAACCCTAACCTCGACGGCGTTTCCGAAATGCTCACTTCCTTCAAAATCCTCCGTACATCCACTATTAACACCGTTAACACTTCAATTCTCCCTGACTACTACAAAATCCTCCAAATTGAACGGTTCTCACACATAAACACCATAAAAATACAGTACAAAAAGCTAGCCCTAACCCTACACCCTGATAAGAACCCTTACGTGGCATCAGAGGAGGCGTTTAAGCTTGTTAACGAAGCGTTTAGGGTTTTATCGGATAAGAGCAGGAGGAAGGAGTATGATGTGAAACTTAGGGTTTCTATGCAGTCGGATTTAATGGCTGAGGAGGGTAGTGAAACGGGTGAAACGACGACGTTTTGGACGGCGTGTTCGGGGTGTAGATTGTTGCATCAGTTTGATAGAAAGTATTTAGGGCATAATTTGATGTGTCCAAGTTGTAAGAAAAGTTTCGAGGCGATTGAGGTTGAAGAAAATAGTGAAAATTTAGGGGTTTCTGAAGGGACAAGAGTGAGTGCTAGGATTAAGGCTAGGAAAAGTGTGAATTTGGGGTTTTCAAGAAATGGGGAGTTAGGGGTGAAGGGGAAAATGGGGAACGTTGGTGAGGTTTTGAAGAGGCCGAGAGGAAAAATGATGAGAAGTGTTGATGAAAATGGTGTTGGTGATAAGGGTGTAAGGGCAAAGAGGGCGGCGAAAGTAAGGGATGTGGACACGGAAGGAGATATTGAGAGCGATGATTGTTTGATTGAAGGGTTGAGGTCGAGGACTAAGGGTAAGGTGAGAATTGGTGATGGAACTGAGGTTGTAGGGGCAAAGAGGACGGTGAAAGTAAGGAATGTGGACATGGAAGGAGATGTTGAGAGCGATGATGGTTTGATTAAGGAGTTGAGGTCTAGGAGTAAGAGTAAGGTGAGGAATGTAGGTGAGGGGGAGGAAGAGACAATGACATTAGCTGAGATGCAAATGTTAGTAAAAAAGAAGGTGAACAAGGAAAAGGTGGAGGTAGGAGAGAAGAGGAAAGAAAAGGCGGAGATTGATAAGGCAGTTAATTTTAATTTAACAGAAAAGGTAAGCGAGGAAAGAAAGGAGACAGATTTGAGTTTCAAAGACGAGGAAGATGAAGTGGAAATGGAGAGGCTGATTGCGAGAGTGAGAGAGAAGAGGGTGAGGCGTGAGTCGTTAAAGGGGGATGGTTTGGAGCATGGAGGAAAAGGAAGGGATTTAGATAGAAAGAGGGGTGGTAAAGGGTCAAGGCAGGATGATTTGGAGATAGTGGCGGAGAATGAAAAGGAGGAGAATGAGAAGGCGATGGAGTTCAATTTAACGGAAAAGGAGAGTGAAAAAAGAAAGGAGACTGGATTGAGTTTGATAGAAGATGAAGATGAAGTGGAGATGGAGAAGCTTATTGCGAGGGTGAGAGAGAAGAGGGTGAGGCGTGAGTCGTTAAAGGGGGATGGTTTGGAGGATGGAGGAAGAAGGGACTTAAGTAGCAAGAGGGGTGGTAAAGGGTCAAGGCAGGATGCGGAGATAATGGCAGAAAATGAGAAGGCGATGAAGTTCAATTTGATCGAAAAGGAAAGTGAGAAAAGAAAGGAGACTGATTTGAGTTTGATAGAAGAGGAAGATGAAGTGGAGATGGAGAATCTTATTGCGAGGGTGAGAGAGAAGAGGGTGAGGCATGAGTCGTTAAAGGCGGATAGTTTGGAGGATGGAGGAAGAAGAAGGGTTTCAAGTAGGAAGAAGGGTAAAGGGTCTAGGCATGAAGAAACTGAGCAGAATAAGAAGGGAATGAAGTTTAATTTAGCGGAAATGGAAAGTGAGAAAACAAAGGAGACTGATTTGAGTTTGATAGAAAAGGAAGATGAATTGGAGATGGAGACACCGATTGCGAGGGTGAGAGAGAAGAGGGTGAAGCATGATTTGTTAAAAGGGGATGGTTCGGAGGATGGAGGAAGAAGAAGGGTTTCAAGTAGCAAGAGGGGTAAAGGGTCTTGGCAGGATGTTTTGGAGACAATGGCAGTGGAAACTTTTGATCTTTATAATTTTGACAAGGATAGAGTAGAGAGGAGTTTCAAGAAAGGACAAGTATGGGCTGTTTATGACGATGATGGAATGCCAAGGGACTATGCTTTGATTGATGATGTTATTTCTGTGCATCCCTTTGAGGTGAAATTGAGTAGGTTGGAGTTCCAAAGTAATAGTGATGAGGCACTGCTACATTGGGGGAAAATGGGTTTTCATATTTCTTGTGGGAAGTTTAAGGTGTCTACGCATGCTTTGGTTAAATCTTTGAAGAAGTTTTCACATGTTGTTGATTGTGAAAGAGCAGCAAGAGAGTTGTATAGGATTTACCCCTCGAAAGGTTCAATATGGGCATTGTATAAAGAGAATGCTTTAGGTGCTGGCAGCAGGACTCTAATGGTTGAGGATAAGCAATCTTATGATATTGTTGTATCTTTGAGTAGTTACACTGACTTACATGGCGTGAGTATTGCATATCTTGAAAAAGTTGATGGGTTTAGGACGCTTTTCAAGAGGAGAGAGATTGGGGCTCATGCTGTTAAGTTGTTAGGGAAGAATGAGCTTGGGTTGTTTTCGCATCGGATTCCTGCAAGGAAGCTATCTGATGAAGAAGCCTCAAACATCTCCAAGCACTGTTGGGAAGTGGATCCTGCTTCATTGCCTCACAAGTTCCTAGCTATTTGGGGAAGTTAAAGTGTATGCATATCAGATCGAAATGGACTTCTTGCACTCAGCTATTACCTCTTGAGATCCATTTTAGGTAAAAACGGTATGGATTGAGCATGATGTTCTTCTAAATCAGTCTGTTATTAGAAAGTACTCTGCTCACATATCAAATTGTATCTGGTTCCTTGCCATCCTTGTAAATAGAACAATAATGGTCAACATCAGACCAACATGGCCTTTTACACTTCCGCATTTGATACACCTCCATGCCTGTTGATAAAATACATCTTAGTTATTCCTGTAAATAAATAAGATTTAGTAAAAGCATTCAGAAATACTGACAAAAATATGGAGCCATCTTGCTTCTCATCACCTTATCTACACTTTTCCTACTGCAGATATATTTTTTTTGCTCTTGGTTATTCATGAGATAACAATCATCAGCTTCATCCTCTACTACTGTCACATACGAACAACATTTAGTCTGAGCCAAGCACATGAAAATTATATAAGAAATGTTCTATTTGCAGTAAAACATTTTTTTATGGAATGTATTTTTGATAACCATTGCTGATGGAATATATTCCTTGTCGAACATTTTGTTGATATTCAAAAGACCCTTTATCATCTTCATGCTTACCTCCCTATTGCTATTAATTGTAGTTGGCCTAGATGTATGGGGAAAGTTGGTCAAAGTAGTCCGAGAAGCATAGGACGCAGCACGTAGAAAAAAGCACCAATGTCTCCAGTCAAGCAGTGGGAGCAAGTGGTGGATCGATACCGGAGTAGTGAAGACAGTTTCCTGAGGGACTTCATTTGTCCCCCTTCAGATTTTGGAGACTTTCACTTCTTCTCCTTGAATGTTAATTGTTCTTATTGTAGCTTGCCTTTGATGGTGGAAATTGGTTCTTTTAGAGGAGCATATGTAACATTTTAGTACTTGTAATTGTGTCTATCGATTTTCTTACTCTTAGCGAGTCTCCTGGAGCAAGAGACCACCTTAATGGTCCTGTAAGTTTGGGGTGACATTAACCTGGTCTGTACATCTGATACATACGATAAATAGTCCTCTGTGTTGCAAAAGTGAGGTTCACTTTTAGTCAACCCTAGATAGAAATGTTATACAGCAGTGGGACCGCATGCCTGAATTTTGTAGTTACTGAAATGTACAAGGCTTTCATCTTCCAGATCAGATGATCATCAAAATGACAAGGCTTCACATGATTTCTCTTTATTTTCTCCTTTTGTAGGTCAATCGCTCTTATGTTGTCACATTTACTCAAGAAATATATCATTTGATCATCTCTTCATCGGTATTGGATTAAGCAGGATAGCGAGCTTCTCAATAAGAACTGCAGACTCAGGTATTTTGTCCAGGATTTTTAAATTCCGAAGGAAAGATATGGAAATTCTCTAGAAACACAAGGTTGCACGATTTTTTGGTAGAAAGTATTCACATAAGAAAGTTACTGTTTTGCACATAAGAAATTTGCAACCTTTTGACATGGTAACAGATGAGTCCACCAAATGTGGCAATAGGAAAGAACTAGCTAGCTGCATCAAATAGTGGAATTCTTTTGCTGCTTTTCTTGGAGAAGGGATTGGTAAACTAAAGAAAGTTTCAATGTGTTTTCAGCAAAATCCTTCACAACTGGTGTGATGATTTCCTTTTATGAACTAATTTCATTAAAGTGGAAAAATTTCCCGTATTCAAGAAGTATACCAGAAAGCGTAGAGAAGTTATCCAAAAAGTATGATTCTCTACAAATTGCATCCAATCTTTATGCAGACAGAACCTCACTGGTGCACAAAAAAATGGGTTGCTACTCCATATAACCCTCCTACTCCAACAAATGTGTTTTCGTGTATGTAATATATTCTATGAGTAGAAAGACTTTTGGAGTGCATGATTAAAGAGTTGGTTTAAGTTCTAAGTCAGCTGGTAAGAAATACTATACCAACTAATATTTCCAGTTGTTACAATGATTACTATATTGAATAGATATACATTCTTTGTTAAAATTGTTCCAGTGCGTGTATGTATATATATAATTGCTTTGCCTATAACATTTCCTACCATTCTTACAAAGAGAATGGTTTGCCTGAAAAACTTTAAATTATAATAGAATGTTTACTGGTTTTGATTCGATTGATTCTAAGCAATCTCATGGTTTTTTATTGTGAAAAATTTGAACAATGAATATAGATGGTGAGCACCTAATCGAATTGATCAGGTCACCGTAGTAGAATAACAAAAAAAGGAAATTAAAAGATAAATACGTACTTCTTCCGTCCCAATTTTTGTAGTGATATTTTTTTGTAGTGAATTTGAATATAGAATTTTTAAATTTTAAAAAAATAAAATTGACATCATTAATTGAAACTTGTTAGCCACTAGTCTTTTTTCCCGCGAATGTAAATATTACAAATACTGCATTAAAGAAAGAAACTGAGCAAAGGTGCCCAAGATATTTCCTTCAACAAAGTTACACGAAGTTGAAATTTAAAATTGCCACGACCCAAATTCTAACCTGACGTGATGGCGCCTATCTCGAAACTAGGCAAGCCGAAAATTTCAGTAAACCACAATTTCTTTTAAATTTGAAAATATAATATTTAAATAAAATTCACAAATCCTACAAATATCGATACATCCACTCCCAAAATCTGGTATCACCGAGTACATGGGCATCTATATATTACAAGTCTGGAGAATACGGTCTATATTAAACTGAGACCAAATGCAATACAAAAAAAACATAGGGAAGGAGAGACAGTGTCTGCGAAACATGACAGCTACCTCTGAATCTCCGGAAAATCGACTGTGAAAGGATCAACACCCACAGTATCCGGGATCACCTGGATCTGCACACGAAGTGCAGGGTGTAGTATGAGTACAAACAACTCAGTAAGTAACAATAATAACTAAGGAACTGAAGATAATGACGAGCTACACAGTTATAGTTTACTTTTAGTAATTCCCGCAAAGAATAGACATGCTTTCAAATCCGGCAGTTTAAGTCAAATTAATTTTATACAGTTCAAGTTAATGTAATCCGGATATAAAATCTTTCAGAGATTTCACAACAATGACATATAGCAACCAAGTGCAACAACAAATGTAAAGCAAGTACAACCTCTCAGGCAACAGTCACTCAACTCATCACTCGGCTCTCAGCCCTCAACACTCACACTCAATGGGTACCTGCGCTCACTGGGGGTGTACAGACTCCGGAGGGGCTCCTACAGCCCAAGCGCCATAATCTGTACGGACAACTCATGTGCTGCACGGACAACTCACGTGCTATAATATCCTCTGTACGAAAAACTCACGTGCTATAATATCCTTACCTCACCGACAGGCCCTCAGCCTTACTCAGTCCTCAACCTTTTCTAGTCTATCGGGCTCTCAGAAATCACAAAGATCAGCCCAAATAAAGATAACATAATGCATCCACAAATATCAAGAAAGGCTGAGGTATGGTACGTAAGTAAAATCATGACTGAGCACAAGATAGCAATTAGCAAATAATTCAATAAGTACGTGACCTCTGTGGGTCCCAACAGTACTATCACATAGTCTAAGCATGATTTCTAACATGATTTATACAGTCAAATTTCTTCAACACATAGAGAGCATATAGCTAACAACACGTTATTCAACTTTACAGTTTCACGGGACAGATCAAGTCACAATCCCCTCGGTGCACGCCCACACGCCCGTCACCTAGCATGCGCATCACCTCCAAAATAATCACATGACACAAAATTCGAGGTTTCATACCCTCAGGACTAGATTTAAAACTGTTACTTACTTCAAACCGTAAAATTCTTATTCCGCTAAGACTTTGCCTCGTGAATTGGCCTCCAAACGTCTCGAATCTACCACAAATAATTCGATTCAATCAATAAAATTTATTTGAATTAATTCCATAAGAAAATGCTAATTTTCCATAAAAATCCGAAATTTAGCTCAAAAATCGCCCGTGGGGTCCACGTCTCAGAACCCGACAAAAGTTACAAAATCCGAACACCCATTCCGATACGAGTTCAACCATACTAATTTTATCAAATTCCGATAATAACTCAACCTCCAAATCTTAAATTTCTGTTTTTGGAAAGTTTTACAAAAATCTTGATTTCTTCCATTTAAATCCAAAATAAATGATGAATATAACCATATAATCATGAAGTATACTCACTTTCGGATATAGAACACTTACCCCAATCCATATGGTAAAAAATCGCCTAAAAAATCGCTTCAATCCGAGCTCCATAGCTCCAAATATGTTTAAAATGACTAAAATTTCGAAATATAGCTACTGCCCAGGTATTTACTCTTCGCGATCGCGGAAAATGCTTCGCGATCGCGAAGCACAGAATTTTTCAGCCCCAAAATTGCTCTTCGCGATCGCGAAAAACTAATCGCGATCGCGAAGAACAAACTCCCCAACATCTTCCAGACAACCTCTAGTATAATGGTCATAAAGTTTTGTACAAAACTCTAAATTGCAAATGGTTTAACTTTCTGAAAATTAGACACCAAGGGATATAACTTTCATTTGTTTCTCATCTCCCAATTCCTTATAGATTGCTAGATATAAGCTTCCAAAGTTAGGCTTGTGCAACAGAGATTTCCAAACTCTTCCCAGACAGCCTATAGTGTATATACCATAACTTTTTGTACACAATTTCAAATGACAAATAGTTTACATTTATAAAATCTAGACATCAAGGGCTACAACTTTTATTTTTAGATCATCTCCAAATTCCTTATAGATTGCGAGATATAAGCTTCCAAAATCGGGTAACTGCAGCAAGATTTTCCTCTACGCGATCGCGAAAAGGCTTCCGCGATCGCAATTCACAGTGTCCAAATAGCAAAATTGCTTTTCGCGATCGCGACCCTTTGTCCGCGATCGCGATGCATACCTCTGTGGCCAAAAACCAACAACTAAGAATGGCGTAGAGATGGTCTAAAACCACCCCGAAACTCACCCGAGCCCCTCGGGACCTCAACCAAATATACCAACAAGTGCTAAAATATCATACGAACTTAGTCGAAGCCTTGAATCACATCAAACAACGCTAAAACCACAAATCGCACCTCAATTCAAGCCTAATGAACTTTGAACTTTCAAATTCTATATCTTGTGCCGAAATACATCGAATCAATCCGGAATGACTTCAAATTTTGCACACAAGTCATCAATGACATAACGAAGCTATTCCAATTTTCAGAATCGGATTCCAACCTCGATATCAAAAAGTCAACTCCCCGGTCAAACTTTCCAAAATTCAACTTTCGGCATTTCAAGCCTAATTCCACTACGGACCTCCAAATAATTTTTCGGACACGCTCCTAAGTCCAAAATCACCATACGGAGCTATTGGAATCATCAGAATTAAATTCTGAGGTCGTTTACATATAAGTCAATATCCGGTCAACTATTTCAACTTAAGCTTCCAATCATGAAAATTTATTCTTCCAAGCTAACTCCGAAATACCTTAAAACCAAAACGACAATTCACACAAGTCATAATACCTCGTAGGAAATTATTCAAGACGTCAAATAGTTGAAAGGAACGTAAATGCTCAAAATGACTGGTCGGGTCGTTACAAAAATCTAGTTAATACTCCCTATTCAATTTTTCATGTTTCTGCCCCTATTTCAATAATCATCATATAGGAAATATTTCAATTTCATCATCCCGAATATTAATTGGAATAATATATATATATATATATATATATACTAGTCGCTATGTACGCGCGTCAACGCGCGTGTACCTTGTCTTAATGAGTTAAAACTTTTTAAAAAATTGTAAAATTTTTATTACTTAAAAAGCTATTGCATTCCTAGTGTTACACTATAAGGAAAGATAGATTTTAATCAATTAAAAAGGTCAAACAATGAAAGGAAAAATGAAATTGTTAAAAGTTAACTGTAAAAAATATTCTTGAAATAAATATACATTGTTTTAAATCTAACCTCTGTAAAAGTGAGGGCGAGAAGCTAGAGTGCAGAATGAAGCAGCACATTAGGATATGATTCCAATTATTGATATTGTTTGTAGGTTAGCTCGGTAGATTTATCCCCTTGAAGAAATTTCAGTTTGTGTTGAATTCCTCCCAGCAGTGTGTGTAACGACCCAACTTGCCATTATAAGAATTAATACCCCGTTCAATGACTTAAGGCCCCGGGCAACTTCATAATATGTATTATGACCCGCGGGTGTGGTCGAGTTTGATTTTCGGAAGATTTAGAATTTAATTGAAAGAGAAATTCTCATTTTGAAGCTTAAATGGAAAGAGTTGACCAAAGAGTTGACTTTTGAGCAAACAACCTCGGAATAGAATTTTGATGATGTCAATAGTTTCGTATGGTGATTTCGAACTTAGGTGAGTGTTCGGATTTGGATTTGGAAGTCCGTAGGACAATTCGACGCATTTTGGCGAAAGTTGAAAAATAGACGATTTTTGGAAAGTTCGATCGAAGGTTGAATTTTTGATAACGAGGTCCGAATCCGATTTTGAAAATTGAAATAGGTCCGTTATATCATTTATGACTTGTGTGCAAAATTTGAGGTCAATCGGACTTGATTTGATAGGTTGCGGCATCGAATGTAGAAGTTGGAAATTTCATAATAGACTAAAGTTCAATTAAGTTCGCACAAGACCTAACTTCAAATGAGCATAACTCTCATGATACGAAGTGTTATATGGTGTATTACCTATCAAATAAAATATCTTTGAGTCTAGTTTCTAACGCTTCAAACCGTTCGTCATTTGGACATTCCTACAAGAAGTTATGACCAAATTACCAAAAGCTGAAAAAATGCGATTCTGCGACCAATTCTGCGATCGCAGAACCAGTATGCAATCGTAGAAGTAGTTATGCGACCGCAAAATGGTCGCAAACCTGTCCAGTGAAGCCCATTTCTGGGCATCGATTTTGCGGTGCATTTTGCGACCCGCATACCCATTCTGCGGTCCATTATGCGACCGCAGACCTGCTTTCGG